ACACACACACACACACACACACACACACACACACACACACACACACATACACATGAATGTATGCACGACCAAAGAGAATACTAATTTCAATCTTAGAAACATTGTTTGTTTTCATCAGCATCACCACACACATACACACACACACACACATACACGCACACACACACACACACACACATATACCCTGGTGTTGTTTCTTTCAGCTTTCAGCTCCGATATTTCTTCCTCTTTCTCCAGCAGCTGCTCCCGGCATATGTTCAGCTCCTTCGTCAGGGTGGCAAACTCCTGCAAAACACACACACACACACACACACACACACACACACACACACACAATACACACACACACACACACACAACCATACAGAGGTTAATGCTGTATTAGTGATCAATATTTTGTGAAGCTGAGCACATATGCAGCTATAATCTCAAGGTGCAAACACATGTGGATGACAGGTGTTTTGGTGGCACAAGCACACTCCTGGCACAGCGCAGCACAGGATGAGCCCACCGCTAGTTAGAGGAATACTTTATCTGCAGGTGAAGTGAGGGCAGGCTTAAATAATGGGGAGTACAGTCTGGCTTCTGCTAAAAGAAAATATGCTGTCTGATGGATGCTGTCTGGAAAAACCTTTCTGTGCATCTGCGATAAGAGTTGGTCTGAGCGGGCGGAGATGACCGAAATGGCACTGTGCTATCTGATCTGCATAAACACGACCTCAGCTGTGCCCCTCTGCCCACCTCAGCGCCTGCCTCTGAGTAATATTTCTTAAAAGTAACAGTACTTTTACTTGAGTACAATATTCTAGTCGGCCACTCTTTCCACATCTGAAAAAACAGAGCAGGATTTGGACTTAAACTGGTGCTGAGACACGTCCACAATGTATTAACAACGATCCAGCTGAAATAGGACGAGAATATACAAAATCCATTAGACTGAAAATAAAAAGTCTGTGTTATTCTTTCCCATTACCAACAAATGTGCAACACTGAATATGGAATGTCTCAACATATCATTTTATGGTAACTGAAAAAACATTATGAATGGCCCTGATCACACATTCCAGTATATTGTCCAAAAAGCAAATGCAATGGTGTGAAAACAGTGTCATCTTGCTCTCTCTGACAATCAAAGCACATCCATAAAATCCAGTTCCCAGTGATGATAGAGGGACTTATCATTATTAAAGAGAGACAATAGATTATTCAAAATTAATTCTTAGCCGTGTTACAAAAGTACATTTCACTTGAGAGCCATTTGATTTATTGATATTCATTCTTCACGCTCCTCGGTTTTGACAGATGGCTTTGCACTTCACTGAAGCTTTTAAGCACTCCAGACGTCCTTTATCGCCACATTTGAAAAACTCGACCGTTGAGCGAATATAATTTGGACCACAATGGTTTCTGGTTGGTTTGGATCCACTCAGTCGGTCAGACGTGGCATGTTTGAAGCAATTTTCAGTCCGGAATTCACTCATTTTGTACAAACGAATGGCACGGCATAGAGTGCAGACGCAACTCTGAGATACCGTTCACTCCTTTGTTAATATCATACTGCAGTAGTTCAGATGTTGTAACAAGATAACATCAAGTAGTTGTACTGAATAGGATGAATACATAAAATAGGTTTTGAGACCTGATGGAGCAATGACACCCTTCCTTAGACACAGATTTAAAGGTTTAGTTCACCACAACAATACAAGTCAGTATCTATACATCCCCAAGTCTGTTGAGGGTGCAGTTTGTTACTTCATGCATCACAGCTGTCTCCCACACTATTCGAGATAGAACCAAAAACAACCACGTATTGCAAATTTGATGGACATTTTATGCTCTTTTGGAGCTGCAAAAAGATTGCTCCATTAACTTTAATCTTTTGGGAGAAGGCTGTGATGGAACTGCAGCACTAACCTGCTGTGTGTTTGACTATTACAGTATACAAACTTTAATAGCTCTTTACCTGGCCCTTTTTTCATTTTGGGGTGAACTAGTCATTTAAGGACTAGTTCACCCCATTTATATATATATATATATACCAATAAGAGAGTATCTATAGACTATACTGTACCTGACTGATTTGTAAAGAGTTTTATAAGTCCTGACAGTGTCAGATGTCTGTAGCTGAAAATGATAAGCTTCACCTGCTCTGGTTTGGGATTATAACGTCTCCACATTCTATCTCGCTCAAATAAATCATAATAGTGTAAACTGATCCCCACACAAGTCCCTCCAGATCAGTGGAAGAGAATGGGTGAAATGTGAGCCCCAGCTTCTGCCCTTCCACTAATATCTGAAGTTCTGTCTTGCTGCTACCTGTGCAGTCAATTTCCCGGTCTCCAAGTCCCATACGTTATCCACTTGCCCATATGATTTTCTGTTATTCCGTCTGTCATTGATTCGATTTACACGAGGCGAGAGGCCAACAGTGCTACTGTTACAGTGTATGACAGCAAAAGAGCCAGTGACACACAGCTTCTGCTGGAAGTTCATTTTTAATATTTTCTGTGGTTTGATCACACAGAGATTTGGTGGCTGTTTGTTTACTAAAGTGTGTACATCTGTTCGTGCACCAGTGTGTGTGTGAGTCAGTTTGTGTGTGTGCATGTTGTTTTAACATCTCCTGGTGCTTTGTTGGCATTTCTTGTAAGCTTCGCTTTAGTCCAAGCCAATACCAGGCTTATGCTCTCTCTTCTTGTCTCAAACACGGACACAGCTTTTAAAGTCCTGGTGCTCCCTGCAGGAATGACACTGCATTCTTGGTCTTACGTTTCTCACTGATGACCCAAATATGGCGCATGACTAAGAAATTCTACTTTGATGTTGGTATTGGGAACATTCCACTTTGCTGCCCTTTTAAAAAATATGGTGGCGCATAAAGTGCTAGGCCTGGTTAACTTGCCATCAATACACCTGACGCCTGTCTGAGCCTATCAAGAAGACCGGTCTAACCAGAACAGATGTGATTGGATGACACTTATAAGTTATGAAGAGTCTATAACCATAAGAAATTGATTAATATCCCAATTTTAGGGCAAGATATTGTATGCCTTGTATGAGACACATTCTGGTCTTTAGTTTCACAGTGATAAACTGGTAATAACGGCCAATAAAGTTCTGGTCTCTCCGGTTGTCACTGGTCTACACCACCAAGCTGGGTGGGCCTAAAGTGGGTGTTTTATGAATATTCACTCTCCTTGCCTTTAATCTGGGAAATAGGATGCACAGACTGATGCGCAGTTCAGAGTTTTTTATTACCCGCAACCGACCTGACCCGCAAACCTCCAACTTTATGCATTATATAGTAGTGTAGTTGTCAGGTCTGGGCAAAGACAGAGACAAGCGGACCTGAGTGTGGTGTGTGTGTGCTAGAGAGAAACAGAGAGAGGGGAAGAGAAGGTGGACTATTGCACGTAATGTTTCTGTAAGATCGACCCCCGCATCACCACTGACTGGTAAGTAAGTGACTAAGATGCGGAATATAAAAAAAGGATCAGGAGCAAAACATCTGATCTGTTCAGTGTCATCACACAAATGTCCATCCATCCATCCATTTTCCTCCGCTTATCCGGGGTCGGGTCACGGTGGCAACAGGCCAAGCAGGCTGACCCAGACTTCCCTCTCACCGGCAACATGTTCCAGCTCATTCTGGGGGATCCTGAGGTGTTCCCAGGCCAGCTGGGAGATGTAATCCCTCCAGCGTGTTCTGGGTCTTCCCCGGGGTCTTTTCCCAGTTGGACGTGCCTGGAAAACCTCCAGTGGGAGGCGTCCAGGAGGCATCCTAATTAGATGCCCGAACCACCTCAGTTGACTCCTTTCGACGCGAAGGAGTAGCGGCTCGACTCCAAGCTCCCTCCTGATGACCGAGCTCCTTACCCTATCTCTAAGGCTGAGCCCGGCCACCCTACGGAGGAAGCTCATTTCGGCCGCTTGTAACCACGACCTTGTCCTTTCGGTCACGACCCAGAGTTCGTGACCATAGGTGAGGGTAGGAACGTAGACCGAGTGGTAAATTGAGAGCTTTGCCTTCCGGCTCAGCTCCCTCTTCACCAAGACGGTCCGGTGCAGCGCCTGCTTTACTGCTGCAGCCGCACCGATCCGTCTGTCGATCTCCCGCTCCATCTTACCCTCACTCGTGAACAAGACCCCAAGATACTTGAACTCCTTCGCTTGAGGTAGGCACTCCGTCCCCACCTGGAGGGAGCAATCCACCGGTTTCCGGCAGAGCACCATGGCCTCAGATTTGGAGGTGCTAACTCTCATCCCCGCCGCTTCACACTCGGCTGCAAACCGCCCCAGTGAATGCTGGAGGTCACGATCTGAGGAGGCTAACAGGACCACATCATCTGCAAACAGCAGTAGTCTTGCGAGGGTAAAGAGCTGGTCCACTGTTCCACGGCCGGGACGGAATCCGCATTGCTCCTCTTGTATCTGAGGTTCGACAAACGGTCGGAGCCTCCTTTCCAGCACCCTGGCATAAGCCTTCCCCGGGAGGCTGAGTAGTGTGATACCCCGGTAATTCGAGCACACTCTCCGGTCCCCCTTTTTGAAAATGGGAACCACCACCCCGGTCTGCCAGTCCATGGGCACTGATCCCGACCCCCATGCGACATTGAAGAGGCGAATCGCCACCTTAACGTGGTGGAGGAGTTTGAGTGGCTCAGTGATCCTGGGAGCTATGTTGTCCGGGGCATTAGCCCCTGGTAGGGTCTCCCAAGGCAAACAGGTCTCGGGGGAGAGCCCAGACTAAGAGCGGTTCAAACAACCCTAATGATAAGCAGCCCACGGACTTTAGCCACCTCGCCCGGACCAGGGAAACCGGGGCACCCTCCCGGAGCCAGACCCAGGAGGGCCCGGTCAGGCTCAGACCGAATAAACAGCATGGAGCAGCCACCCTGTGGACCCACCACCCGCAGGGACAAGCATCGGGGTCGGGTGCAATGCAGACTGGGCGGCGGGTCAGACGGGAGGCCTGGGCGAGCCGATCGCCGGCAGCATAGACTAGCTCTAGGGACGTGGAACGTCACCTCGCTAGCGGGGAAAGAGCCAGAGCTGGTGCAGGAGGTGGAGCGATACCAGCTAGATATAGTTGGACTCACCTCCACACACAGCGCTGGCTCTGGAACCAAGCTCCTGGAGAGAGGTTGGACGTTTGTCCTTTTCCGGAGTTGCCCAGTGTGAGAGGCGCCGGGCGGGAGTGGGGATACTCACGAGCCCCCGGCTGAGCGCCGCTGTGTTGGAGTTCTCACCGGAGAACGAGAGGGTCGCCTCCATGCGCCTACGGG